GTGATTCTGTCACTGACAAGGCATTGGACATTTCTTTCTCTCTGTTTTTCATTTTGGAATTCATTCAAAAACCAAAAGTAGCCCTTGGCAATCACCAAGATCCTCAGTCTGTGTGCAATACTGTTTTCTTTTTGTGACAATAAATTAGTGCATTTGTAACTGATTATTGAATATCTCATTCTTTAATCCTTGTCTGCCATTGCACTTTGTCCAGTTTCAAGATCACAAGCATTCCCGGTCTGTCCTTCTGGTTTGTCATTGCAATGTCTTGATTATATTTGCACCTATGCTGTTGTTTATTGTCACACCATGTTGTATTGTACTGATGTTATATTCCAACCTTGCACTAACAGGTGAAGACCCAAGTGAGAGAACAAGCATACATCTCACACCACCTCCCAGTGATAAATCTCCTAACCCATTGCCTAAGGAGCAACAAAACTCCAATACACAGGGAGTTGCCCCTCCACTTTCTGCAAAGACCTCTGCCAAATCCTCTTCAGCATTACGCCTGCAGGCTTGCACCTTGCTCTGTTTGGTGAGTTCGTTGCTACTGTTACTATTAATCTGTTTGCTACAGCCATAATTAAATCCCTCCCACTGTAAATCCTGTGTATTCTATTGTCATCTCCAAGCTTGTTCACTTTTTATATGCTGTTGTATTGAATGGGGTTACTAGTAATTAGTAAAAGTTATCTTTTTTCGGGCATGTCTATTCTCAGCTTATTGTTGCTTTTGTTATGTAAATCTATTGATTGGCATCGAGTCCCAGGGATCTGATCTCTTCTTTATGTTTGAATCACATAGTCTTAGTTTGTTGACCTGGTGTGAGATTAAACATAAGAAGCCACACCTAATATGGTTTGTTCTAGCGCAGATCTAAGCTATGATAAGGAAATTTGCTTTCTAATATTAGTAAAATGTGTTTGTTAGATAAGATGACAGGTAAAGTGGTAATATTATGAGGACATGTTGTCTGTAACTTGATATTTAAAATCTGTGGATTGGTATTTCATCAAATGGGTAGAACATTACAAAAAGCAGCAAATCTTGATCCCTAGATATGCCTCCCCGAATAATTAGAAAATGGAAGATGTTGCAATACTAAATTTGACTCTGTTTACCCCGAAAGAGGATGAGACAATTGAGTGCTGCCAATGGAGAACTAACCCAGAATTTGATATTTTGGTGAGGTAATTTGGTGGAAGTCAAAAAGTAAAGGTTCTAGTACCCAATGCGTATCTTCGGTGGAAAATTGGTACGCCCATAAGAATAAAGTAATTAGAGAATTATTTGCAGACCCATCCAATCTCCCTTGGTGCCTATTCTGCCTTATTGTTGAAAACTTCTCTGCACCTGACCAAGTCTCGAAAGGTTCTGGTGAGGAAGACCCCTGCGACCGGGAGTTCATCTGCTCCCTGCCCGTTAAGCAGGATCTGGTGAGTATTAATTGATTCCCTCATAAAACAAAATACTATGACTTGGGTGGGGACTGGAAGCATCCAAACCTAACATAGCCCAGTGACTTAACCTTCTCTCCCCAGGGTTAGGTGGGGTAGCTTCAAGTGTGAATTTTTTTTTGATTAAATTATCAGTGGGTGGGCCATGAGAAAAAGAGAAAGCACCTCGAGTTGGTAAATTGTCAGTTTGGCCCGAAAGGCTAGGTGCAGCTTCAAGTATGATTTGACTAGCTGTATTGTGGTTATTTGAATCTTGTACATCAAACTTTATTCAATTTCTTTGAGCAAGTAATTGTTTCTCTCCGTAAAATTTGACCCTTTATGAAAAGGTTATAAATTGAAGAAAAGACAGAAAAGGAAAGGTAAGATTGAAAATTAATATATATATATATATATATATATTTTTTTTTCTCGTCGTTCGCAGTACCTGCTCCTTGTGCCAATAAATAAAAAGGGTTTAAAGTTTGGCTAGAAGAATACATAGTTGTCTTTCTTGGGTGGAAGAATAATTGAGTTTCTTTGCAGTTTTATGGTCGTTGTGGTATAGATGTAGGCGTGGGCCTCCTTCCAGAACAAAATTTAAAGCAGACCATTTCAAACATTTGTCTTGTTCTATCTTGGCTTCAACCACTCTAAATTGATCTACCAATTTTTCTGTCTTCTCAATATGATCCTCGATCCTATGGTATTAAAAGCAGATTCTGTTGGGAGTCCACAATATTATTAAGCAATGATTGAAGTGGCTGAAAAGAAATTTTGTCCATTTTTCAGTTTAATCATGAGTTATATACAAAAAAAATAATTATCTCACTGTATCTTAATAATTAAACTTGAAATTGTTAATATAAATTATAGATGCTTTATTTGTGTCCAATTATTTTATAATCTTAGTTTACTATTAAGATTAGACGTTTGAATCTTATGTTTGTACTTAAAGTTGGGAGAGAAATAGGGTAAAGGTGTTAAAATTTTGGAAGAATTGTTTGGATAATTATCTTGTTCTATATGTTCACGAGGGTTGGTTTAGTTGGTAAAGTTTGATATATATCTTCCGATGTTCGTTCTTAAGTTCTAAACTTGCTATCAACAGTACCAACAATCCTCCTAAATAAAGTTGGTAGGCACATCTTGTCTTTAGAATGGAGTAACATCCCCTTACCGTAAATTCTATGTATCATAATAATATCATCTATTTTATATACATTCAAATTATTCAATACCAAATTGAAATGCTCATTCAACAAAAATGACAGAGGCGTTGTTCACGTTCCTGATTCAGGTTTTTGTTAATATCAATTCAACATCCTAGTACGAGTAAATGATATAATTCATCAGATTGGGACAGAGATATAGAGTGCAGAAATGGGTTTTTTGAACTTGGAGGTGCTCTTGTATTAATATCACAGGAAGGGCAGTTCGGTTGTTGTAAATTTGGGTCTTTTAAACTTGGAGGTGCTCTTGTATTAATATATCAGGAAAGGCAGTTCGGCTGTTGTAAAATTATGCATCTCACGTTGTGATGTTTATGGGTTTGGAGTACCTCTGTGTTTCCTTTTTCTAATAAATGTTACTTTTTTGCCTTAAAAAAAGAAATATATATATATGTGTGTATAATTCACCAATCAATGTTTAGATAGCAGATTACCTAAACTTAGTTGGGAACTTGGGAAATCATGAAATTCTGAATGGGAACAAGGATGGCGACGATGACACCAATGGCGGTCATTGCGATAACGCAGATATGGCGTCTGAGGTTGCCAGGTATGCTGCTAATGTTTCCTCCGGTGGTCCTTAATGGTGATATGTAACTAACCCAGGGGAAAAAAGTGGCTAAAGGGCACCACAGAGAAAGCCATAGGACGAGCAACATTAATGGTGGAGAAAGTGTAAAGAACTAGAGTCCCATCGCATAAGGAATATGAGAGTGATGAGTGGTTTACATATATCAAAACTATAAAATTGCCGAGCAAGTGATGTAATGTATACTTGTAGATAATATCGTGACCATGACGAGTATACCATAACCATATATATGTATGTTAGACAAAAAGGAAAAAAAAACCTTGAAAGCTGATATCAAAATGTCATCTATACCTAAGATATCTCCCCAACAATGAATAACTTGAAAGCTGAAGATTTGAATAGATGTCATAATTGAAGCTTCCCTGGGAATTAAGAGGGGCAAGATTGTTGTACGACAATTGTTAAGGTTATCAAATTATTCACTGGAACATGTGAATTACAAGTTTTTATCCACTAATTTGGGTTATGTGACTCCTATAGTATTTCATTATAAGAAAATATTGTCTGTAATTCAGCTTTTGTATTTAGTATTGGCTTAAGGGTCAAGTTAATTTACAACAAAATACACAAATTTTAAAATTAAGCTAATAAAAAATCATTAAAATTATTATGAAGTATAAGAAATTATTTGTTTTTGTAGTATTTTATTGTTTGAATTATAAGTTAAAAATTGCACCTGGCTCTTGAGGCCTAGTGGCAATAGCCATCCCGGTGCATTCCCCTCTCCTCCGGGCTGGGTTCAAAACCCGCCTCTT